AGAAAAACCTGCGCACAGACAGGGAGAGAGAACACCTGGTCTCTTAGCCAAGGCCTTGAATCATGTGAGCTCCACCGTGTGCCTCCCTCCAGCTCCTCAGAGGGCCTGCGTTTTTAGCTATGCAGGCTCCCGAGCCAGGCTGCCTGGGTTCAAACCCTGGGCTCAGTGCTACCCACCTATGCGCCTCCCTAAGCGTGACTTTTTACATTTATAAAATGAACATAAAAGCACTTCAGACCCCCAGGAAGATTAGATGAGAAGCACAGGCGGAGTTTTTAGCACATCCTCCTGTCATTATGCTGATGGAAAATCGCTTCCCAGGTGAGCAGCTTGCCCAGGCCTCAGGAATGGTGGTGGCCCATTTCCTTCAAGGCTCCAGCCTAAAGGATGGTGTAGGACAGAGGAGGGGGCGTGATGTAGACCAAGCTCACTTTTCCAAGACCCTTGTGTCAGTGCCCAGCACAGTCCCTGGTGCGAATGTGTCCGAGAAATCGATGTTGAATTAATGAGTAATCAATCATCAACCAGCGTGCCTATTCAGAGCTCCTATCAAGTGTTCTCGCAAACTGCCAACTTCAGGAAGCCACACGGTCCTGGGCCATGGTTCACCCGCATGGTCCCCAGGGCCATGCCAGGACTCCTGCCAGGCGTAGCCATCACCACATGCCAGGAAGGCTGGGCCTGATCTGAAGTGAGAGCTGAGGAAGCCGACACCAGATGGGGGCCCTTTAGAAAATCAAACCTAAGGGCCTGCTTATTAGCAATTCCCGTTCGCAAGAGACGTTTAGGCTATTCCTTCGTTTCTTTCCCAAGGGCCTTAATTAAGAACACATTATGTACCACAAAAAGGCAACCCCGCCAGAGCTGCAGCTTCCCAAAAGGTGGAAGAAATTGTCATGGGGCCATGAAGTTTCAGGAAAGACGAATGACTGTAGGTGACTCCAGCATCCTGGGCCAGGGTCCCTTAAAAATGAGGATGTGTCTAGATCTCTGTGATCCTCTGACCCGAGTTTCAAGAGCAGGACTAGCAGAATCCCAAAGAAAATTGAGGAAAACAAGCAGTTGTGACCAGCCTTCTGCTATAAGGGTAACAATAAACGCTTTTAGTATTTGCTACTCCGGGTCTCTGCATTCTAGCCCTCCTAAGAATCCCAGAACGAGGATTCAGTCGCCACTTGTTGGCTGAAGACAGAGGCTCAGAGAGATGAAGGAATCGCCTGAGGACACACAGCGAGGGTGTTGGACAGAGGATTCTCTAAGCTCAGGTGTACTGCACTGCTCCCCGGTGCTTCCTCTCATCGAATCCTGGATGGCATGAAAGGTCCTCCTGATCCTGAATGCATCCAGATCACAAGGATACAAGTGTGCCTGCTATTATCTGAAATGCAAAGCCATCTACCAGAATCATGGCTTTCTCACAGCCTTCTCCAAAACCCCCACCAACGACCCATTCTGGAGGGTCGCCTGCCAAGACCGCACCTATCCCCGAATCGGCAAATGCTTCTACCCTGTCTTAAAATAAGACAGTGTCTTATATTAATTTTTTCTTCTAAAGTTGCGCTAGGTCTTATTTTCAGGGGATGTCTGATCTTTCCATGCGCTAGGGCTTATTTTCGGAGGATGTCTTATTTTCGGGGAAACACGGTATGGTGGGCCAAAAGACGGCTCCCTAAAATACATGCCCACATCCTAATCCTAGAACCCGTATTATTACAAATGGCAAAACCTGTGATTACGTTAATGACCCTGAGATAGCGGCTTGTCAGGGGTATCACTAGGAGGGGCTGTGGGGACAGACTCAGAGAAGGCAGTGGTATGACATTAGAGGTACAGATTTGAGAGATTTGGCTAAAAGAGGAGACACACTCAGGATTACAGGCAGACACCAGAAGCTAGAAGAGACGTGGAACAGATGAGGCTCTAGAACTGGAGGGAAGACGCACCTGGTTCCAGGCTTTGACCTCCAGAGTTGTGACAGCTGCTAATGGAAGCAACCCAGTTTGTGTTCATTTGTTACAGCAGCCACAAGAAACTAATACTCTCTCGGAATAGGCAAACTGACTTGGCCAGGCCCCATCACGTGGCGGTAATGTGTGGTTCAGAGACTGAGAGTTACAGGCTCCTACATGTTGTCTCGGGGTTTCTCAGTACCCCAAACCCCACAGACCCATTTTTCAGGGGTGCAACAGGGAGCTCTCAGTTTAAAACAAATTCCTGAAGCTTTAGAAACCACGCTGATGGACACAGGGGTGCTGAAGGGCAAGGGCTTGGGCTGCCATTTGGAAAACTAGGACCTGGTCTGCGGATAATGAGACAAGTTTGGGGAGATGTGGGGGTGTCCATATTAGGGTTTAAGAAGATCCCTAAGGTATATATATTGGATGTTGGCGGGAGGGCAGAAAGCATGTGACTAGGTAGGTGGTCTACTATTTTGATATTTAGAGAGATCTGCATGTCGGCTGTTAGCAAGGGACCGACTCCACTCCCACCTGAGCTTTTTTGTTCATTCCTTCCACAAACATATATGGAGCACCCCTGTGCATGTGGCTCTGAACCAGGACCCCAGTGCAGGGCAGTGAGCACAGAAGGCACAGCACAGTCCCGGAGGGCTCTCTGAGCAACGATTCCCAACCACAAGCACTTCTGTCCCCCAGGAGCCACCCGGCAACGTCAAGACATTTCTGGTTGCCATGACTAGAGGGGGAGGAGGCATCTAGCGGGGAGAGGCCAGGGATGCTAACACCCTACCATGCATGGACAGCCCCCCACCTCAAAGAATTTTGTGCGCAAAATGCCAACAGCATGGAGTGGTGCCACAAGACAGGACAGTGGGGGGAGAGGTTAAAGGGAGGGGAGAGCAGGAAGCTGTGGAGCATACTGGGGAGAAGGCACCCACCCTTGTCTCCGGCGCTGTCTCTGCTGAGGCCTGAGGATGCGAGGGGTGTCCAGGTGGGAAGCGGGGAGCGGGCACAGGAGCAGAGCAGATCCTTCTCAGCAGAGCAACCGGCATCTTTGAGTGGAAAAGGAAACTGACCTCTCCTCCATCCGGCTAGAGAGGAAGTGAGTGCAGGCGGAGGAGGGCGCCAGGCGAAGCTCAGGCCTGCCCCATCGCGGCTGGAGGACCAAGCTGACTGTGCGGGAGGCACACCTGCGTCAGGAGCACAGGCTTGGAGTCCGAGGTGACTCTACATCCCAGCTCCACCACCTTTCATGCTCCATGACCTTGGACAAGACACAAACCCTGAGTGTCTAAACCGTGTATCAGAGCATAAAGCAGAGGATGGAGGGAGAATAACACCCCTCAGGTCTGGGGCTGGAATGAGGACGCACAGGGGCAGCTCCCACGCCTTGTGCTACTGCAAACATCGTTCTCATCTGTGTTTTCAAAGATCACTCGGGGGTCAGTGTGCGAACTAAATTGGGGCAGGACCCCAGAATAAGGTGACCAAGCGTCCCGATTTTTAACAATTTGTCCCGCATCCCACGGCGTTTTTAAAAAGTCCCGATTTTTCCCCAAAATCGGGACTTTTTTAAAATGCCGCAGGACAGACTGTTAAAAATCAGGACTGTTCCGCCAAAAGCGGGACGTATGGTCACCTTACCCCAGAATCACTCCTCCCTGGGGATACAGAGCTAAAGGCAAAAGCAAAACACCGAGATTTCACAAAATAAGAACGAGTAGGCGGAAAGCAGCGCTTCGGACGGACATTCAGGACCTGATGACAACACTGTGACCTTGCCTAACCTCAGCGGCAACAGGGACAGCGATGGCCCTGAAATCGCTCCTCTGAAGGTCTGCTTGTTCTAAAAGTGAACACAATACATATCATCCCTCCTAGTCAGCTGAGAAGTGAACGCCAGGGAAGCCTTGGGCAGATCTTCACCACAGTCCATTGGTGATGGCAATGATTTTGCACCCTGACCAAGGCAGAATCAAGGACTCCTCTGTACAAACCTTAGGTAAACCACCTTGATCCAACTTTCTCCACAGTCGCTCACTGCCCGAGGAAGGGTTTCAAGTTGACCCCTGGCACCCCTGCCTGCACCCAACTCGTGGGAAGAACTTAGGATACATTCCCATCGATGGTCCTTAAAGGGGACGGATGTGTTTTTTAATCCACTCTCGGTGAACTGTCTCATTACCCAGAATTCAATCCCTTGGGCCCGATACTGTTGGTGGCAGACAACTGGGCTGTATGGGAGTGACTGTGTCACAGCCAGAGGGGTGACATGTGGTCTGTCACTGTGCTTGGCTTTCAGAAATGAACTTACAGGGACAGCCTATGCCAAACAGGGAGGGGAGAATCAACCCCTCCAGAGGGTTCGAGACCAGGCCTTGGCACCTGAGTCACCACCCACTACCCCTTACCAGCCCCGGGATCTCAGGTTCCAGCAGGCAGGTCCGGTTTCCCCGGAGATAAAATGCAAAATCACAGACACGTGTGACCAGCCTTCATCTGCACACACTAAGTTGCTTTTATTAACCCAGCACGGCATGCTACAGATACTGTACAGCATGAACATTTATTCATTACAAAAATGGCTTCCAAACCATTAGAAATGAAGTTGGAATAAGAGCATAAAACGGAACAGTAACATCACAACTGTTAGGAAACATTCAAAGTATTCACACACACACACAAAATAAAATGTTATCGTTAGCATCTTAATAAACCAGAGGAAAAAAATCGGAGACAGCTTTACAATCGCTTCATGTCAACTACAATGGCACTGGATGAACAGGTTTCAGCTTTATACAGCATTTTGCAACATCAACATGCCTAGGTTTTGTTTATTTTTTAAAAGTTCGCTACCTCCTCGTTATGTGTCGGACGGGTAACACCGAAGCGGCAGCCGGTTTTTTTTCCTTTAAGAGTAATCTAATATACAGAATTTTGGCCCTTAAGGGTTTATACCTCTTCATTTAAAATGCTTTTTTTTCTGGACAATCTGCTACCAAACACATCTTGTTATAGATGACATTAGAACTACACACAGATCTACCTATGTAACATCACAGCCAAACATGGTGAACGGAAATTACAGCATCGAAAAAGAGGGAGAAAGCTAGAGTCACTGAGAGTTTTGGCACATAAAGTTCCACGGTCAAGTCCACATCCTCGGGGCGCAGGGCACTCGGCCGTGAGTTCAAAGGGGGGGACACGGGGAGGGTGCTCCCACCATTGCTCAGACAGCGCCGCTAAGATTCCCTCGCCAATTTTCAAGTCTTGTTTCACATAATGGCTTTTTAAAGCAACCTTTGTTAATGCTACTGATCCCTTAATGCAACTATTCATGTCCATTTGGCGGCATCTGGGTTTCATACAGAGAAAAAAAAAAAAAAAGTCGAAAATGGAAACAAAAAAATATATATATACACATTTTATATATAAACTTAAAAACCTTGTACAAATGAGTTGTTATATATAAGATGCTGATGCTAAGGGGGTGGGGGAGGGGAAGACTTTATACAGGTCCAAGAGAAAAAGGAAAACATAGTTTAAAAGGGACGACGTACAGGTTCGACGAGCAATCTCTAAAGCAATAAATACTACTGGTCCGACAGCGCTGTGATGCCATTAAGTGTGGAGTAGCATTCCCCCTCCCACCCCAAAAAAAGAACAACACCATGGGACAAGGTATATTAACACATTTTAACCCTTTGCTTCTGTACATTTAAACAAGAACAAGTAACATCACAATAAAAGCTGTTTCACACGGAAGAAGAAAGAAAAAAAAAAAGTCACGGCACTGCATTCGTCGTGTGCCCTGGTTGGTTGGCTGAAAAACCGGATGTAGCAAAATGATTGGTTCGCAAGCTCGTATTTAATACAAATAATACAGAACCAACTCCTTCTGGAGGGCCGCTTCCCAATTGCTTCCTCCTCCTTCCTTCTTCTTCTTCTTTCTTCTTCTTCTTTTCTTTTTTTCCTTTTTGCTTTGTCATCAGTCTTTTTTAAAACTAAGCTATCCCCCACTACATAACAGTTATGTATATATATATATATATATTTTTTTTTTAAAACGCTACAAAGACTTTAAACAGCTGTTGATAAAAATTTTGGTAGAATCATGAGGTTCTTCTCTCATCTACATATTTAAAAGGGAGACGTCGAAAATAAGAATGGGTCAAATATTGACCAATGAACTCGATAAACATTAACTCATGTAGCCATGTGGCACAAAATCAAAAGAGTACAAAACACAAAGCCTTCCAAAAAACAGGGTGGGGGGCGGGGAAATCAAGAGAAGCGAAATGAAAACACTACACAACACAAAGCCGGGGCTCACGAAGCTGAAAGCTAATCTAAAGACTTGGTTACCAGGGAGAGCGGCTGGGGCTGGGGCCCGGCCAGAGAGCTGTGGGAATGTAAGGAAGATGTCGACGGCTGTGCAATAGACGAGGCGGGCAGGACGGGCTGCAGCGCGGCGGCGGCGGGGGGCAGGTCCAGGGCCCCGTTGGGACAGAGGGCGGGGGCCTTGCCGTGGGCGGCCTCGGCGAGCAGGAGGGCGGGCGGCGGCGGCGGCATCATGGGCAGGTGGGCCATGGGGTCGGGCTTCAGGGACAGCGAGAGAGGCTGCATCTGCTCAGTCTGCGACTTGGCGTCTTGGGGAGGGGAGCCTAGCAGGTTGGGGGAGGGAGGAGGCGAGTCTAGTAAGCTTCCATCTGAAGAGGGTGGACTGAGGCAGCTGCCTTCACCTTGTATGTAGCGAACGCACTTTTTTTTTCTCCTAGAAACAGGGGAGAGAGGGTCTGTGAATAGCGGGCAGAGGTGCCGGGGGAGAGAGTCACGCGGACGTCGCCTAGCGGATGCCCCACGGAGGCGGCACGGCACGCCCGTGGCCAGAGCGCCGTTACAGTCCCACAGGGTGCCGTGCCCACGTGCCCATGTTGCTACTGCCCACACCTAAGTCCGCTCTGGTGAACAAAATACTTCATTGTGTGGAATTCCCTACCTACCTGCTGCCCCTACCCCCACTAAACACCCATGACCCCCCTTCCCCCCGCCCAAATGTCTGGATGCCACCTGTAGCTGGTGGCATCGATTTGCTAGAAAGTGAGATGAACTGATGAATGATTATTTCTCTTTGGGCTTAAGCATTCCCTCACTCTCCCATTAGACCTTCCCCCTACCCCTCATTTTCCCCCATCCCAAAGGTGAGTGTGTGTGTGTGTGTGTGTGTGTGTATGTGTGTGTGTATGTATGTGTATGTGCGTGTACAGAGAAAGGCAGAGCTCCTTCCCAGGTCCTCATAGGAATATGAGACTCTCTAAATGCTGACTACTGAGCCCACAGAGCTGAAGGCAGCAATAGCAAGAGGCTTAAAGTTCTCAACACACCATCACCACCACTGCCACCACCACCACCACCACCACCACCACCACCACCACCAGGCTGCCGGGCCCAGAGAGCTGTCGGGCTTGTCTGTTAAGAACCACACCAAATCAAGAGAGGTCAGAATCAGGTGAGAGGAGGGGGAAACAAAAAGAAAACAAAATAAATTAAAAAAACAAAAACAAAACAAAACAAAAACGGAAAATAAAGAAACAAAAAAAATAAAAAACCACCAAAAACAGGTAGAAGAGGATCAACAAAGGTGGAGAAGGGGGAAGAATAAGAAAAACAGAAAATGATCCAAAGGAACGAGAATAACTGGTTGTATGGCCTGCAGGTTGTGGATTAAATTATGATTCAGACTTGATTTTGAATTTTTTTTTTCTTTTAAGATTTGGGGTCTTCTCCTCCCTCACCCCAGAGTGAGAAGGCTGGAAGGAGAGACATGAGGATGGCATGGAGGGGCGCCCCGAGGCCAGTAGCTGGAGGGCGCAGCAGGTGGCAAGGAGGTGAGACAAGAAGAAGTGCCAGGGGTGGGTCCCAGCATGGACCTTCTGGGTCTGGGCTGTGCTGATGGTTGTTGAAACCACTGAGGCTGATTTTTTTGTTTGCCCTGCACCAAAACCAGACTCTCCCTTTCCTATTTCCTGTTTATGGAAGGGACAGGAATGAGAATTTCAGAGCCTCGCTCGCTTAGCATCGAAGGTGGGGGAAATCAATTCAAGAAACTGAGCCTGTGACCTCAACGCTTCTCCCACTGTGAACCCCAGTCAGATGGGGGAGCAAAGGAGAGCCTGGGATCAACCCCCGTCACGCCACCAAAACAATGCAGATGCAGGGAAGGAGCTACTCTGAGGAGAGCCTAGTCAGGGGACAGCGACTAGAGAGGGCTGGGGACACTCCGTCCGAAAACTAGTGTGTGAATGCCAGCCGGCTTTCCATGCTGGAAAGCAACTAGGCTGCTGCCCGGCGGAGGCAACCATTGTCAGATGTCACTGGCCATCGAGAGGAAGGGGTGTGAATGGCTCCTCCTTGGCTGGAGCCCAGGGCTGTCTGATCACGCCCCAGCGTGCGTGGGGTGTGGACTCAGCAAGATGGCAGGAGGGGGGATGGGATGGGGATGGGGATGGGGTGGGTGGGGAGGATAGGAAGGACATGCTTGGTCTTCCCTGCCTCCCAGAGGCCAAGACCCTGGGCAGGGGGCCTCAAGGTCTACCCTCCCCTCTCTGGTGGGAGGAACTCTGGGGGAGCGGGGGACACTAGTCCCCCTCACCTTCAAATTGATATGGTTCCTCTCTCTCCTCTGGGATAGACTGACATAGAGGGTGGGTCCTACTTTCATCCCAGAAGCCCAAGATCAATATATAAGCCTATCAATCAGAGTTTTAAACCACCTCCGCCTGCAGATCAAAACATGCTCAAAACACTAAGATGACCATGCATTTTAAAATGGGAGAGGGGAGGAGGTGGGGGTGGGTGGGCATAAGCAACATGGAAAAAGCAACAGGGAGAAGAAATGAGAGAGAGAAGAAAGGGCGAGGGAAAGGGGGGAAAACAACAGGAAATGAGGAAGGACATCGGGCAGCATTCCATGCTACATTAGGGCAGAAGGAAAAGATAGGAAAAGCAACTTGGTGGGCTCAAAACAGAATCATGGTAAGAATGTGCTCAAATGTCAAATAAAATGAGAAACCCTGGGTCGTGAGCAAGGAGCCGTGACGGCTAGGAGCTGGGAGCGGTTCAGGTGCTCCCTGCCCCTCCCCCCTCCCGGTGCCATGGGGTGCTCGGGCACAGCACTGTGGACAAGGGTTGTGAGGACTGTGAATGGCAGAGGGATGGTCCTAGGAGGTGGCTGAGCAAATGGCAGTGAGCACACACGCTTCTGACGGGCCAGGAAAATGCCTCGTTCTCAACTTCTCTTTTTTTAAAACACATTTTGTCCTAGTGGTTTAGCATCAAGCCAGATCCTGGGAAAAGTTGAGGGAAAAAGAGACAAAACCCATCTCTAATCAAGGAGTGGCCTCATAAAAATCCATTTTTAGCTTCTTATGGGTTTATTGGGAAAGGAAGAATTCTTCCCGGCCCCGGTTTGGAGTTACACCCTAAGAGGAGCAGGCATGTATTGGCTAACAAGCTTTTAGGGTACGAACCTGTCCCCCACAGAATACAGTGGCCATAACCCACCCACAGTGCTGAGGCGGGAAGGACCCCAGGAATGACAAGGACCCCTTGGTAGCCACAGCCAGGCTGATGGCTGGCCCTGGAAGCTTTGGGTGAGAAAATCATGTCTACGAAGCAGCTACCAAGGTCTCCGGCTGTTTTTGTTTTGGGTAAAAATGTCATGAGAACTCTAGCCTCGGAGGAATTTTTATGGTTTTAGGTAAGGGCTGTGTCTAGGCAGGGGATGTCCGTCCTGTCAATGTTAGTGACGATGAACTTTCAATAATAATAAAAAAAGAGAGCAAAGTCTACCTCGCAGCCACTGCTTCCCAAATAAAACAGGGACTCACAGACCACGGCTCGCCTCCCCCAAATATAATAAAATGGACAAACCAGGCAACAGTCCACCTGGCGAGGGGTGCATGTGGTGCGGCCACACCTTCTACAGATGGTAAGGAACCCTCTCTCTGAGCGGACCCCGTGGTTAGCTCATCCTTGGCCATGGCCATGGTGAATGTCTCGGAACAGGATTCCCCAGCCAGTGATCGTCCTACTCGGCCCCACAAATCCCCAGCCTGGAATGTTAGGGGAAGCAGGGCTCCTGTCTTCCTGCTGGCCCTAATGAAACACTAACATCTTCCATCAGCATCACCAGGAAACTCTTCTCCGTTGCCCAGAGAAGACTGAATGGCTGAGTCAACCCCCCTTCTGCTGGGCGTCTGCCTGAGGCCCCCCCACCCTCACTCACTGGGCAGAGTGTCTCCATCCACTCTCAAGCCCTCTGTCCCCTAAAAGTGTGGTCACTGCCCCCGTCTCTCCATTGGAAGGCATCGGGAGGGGAAGAGACACGGGAGTCGTGGGCATGCACGTAATGGGATGGACGTCTGAGCTAACGTCTAAACACGGAACGAATGGCAAAGGCATGGAGGAAAGGGACACGTGACAGGGGAGGCACTACAGACAGAAAGGCATGTGTGGGTGTTGAAATACCTACCATCATAATATTCCAAATTCAAAGACTGCTTGTATCAGAACAAAGAAACAACAAATTTAACCGAGGTGGTCACCGAAGGAAAGGAAAGGTCAGGCACTAGTTGGTATCCCTCCACCAAGAAGGAAGTACCTATCCCTTCCCTGAGGTTTTATGGGAGCTTGGGGTTGAATCGGGATGCTTCTGATTCCTTTTGGAACCTACGTGAGCTCTTTCTCTCTCTTCCTCTCTCCCTCTCTCTCTCGCTCTCTCTCTCTCCCTCTCTCCCTCTCTCTCTCTCATAGAGATGTGTGTGTTGTTCGCCCTGCAGGCCAGCGGCACCACAGCATGGGCCTATGGGGCTCCCTCGGGCAGCCCTATTGGCTGGTGCCTGCCAGTCAATGCCATGCTTCTTGGCAGCACTGTAAAACGATGTCAGCTACCGAGCTCTACACACAGATGTGGGTTTTTAACATAAAACAAAACAACAAAACCAAATAATAATAATAATAATAATAATAATAATAATAATAAAGCTTGCCCCAGAGCACGTCTCCGAGTGCCCGGACTCCGAGGGCACGGGAATGCTATTGCTGCCAACCCCAGCTCCCTCTGCACTCGGCGTTCTGGCCACAGGGGCATTCCTGGGGCTGGGCCAGCGCCAGGAGGCTGGCTTTCAAAGCACAAGGGCCCAGTACCTGTCCTGGTCTGTTGGGGCTGCTGTCGAGGCCCTACCACCGGGGTCATGTGTCATTTATTTGAAAGAGGAGGGAGGTGGGGAAAGAGAGGAAGAGGAAGCGGGGAAAGCATAAAATTAGCAAGGGAATTTGGAAGAGTGAGGATCATTAGTCATCGATGCCAGTGCAAGGTAGACGGGAACAGGGTCCAGATATATGGATGCGCTAAGGTACCAGAAGGACAGAATTGCTTTGATTTTTTTCCCCAAAAGCCTCGCCGTGGTCATATACCTGCATGGTTTGCACCATAAAGTCTGTCGGTCAAGCCCGAACAGTGCCCGACACTTCTTTGGAGTATTTGCATCTGTTAGCATAAGGTAAACACAAAAAAAAAAAAACAACACAACACAATGGTGGGTCGGGCTTGGCTGCGTGCGGACTCTCAGCTACCGCTGACCTGTCTTCCGCATCACCTCGGCTCTACTCACTCCTTCCCTCACCAAGGGCATGAAAGGGAAGGGCTTCTATGAGTCAAAAAATAAAATAAAATAAAATAAAATAATAAAACACACACACATACACACACACAAAAGAAAACAACAACCAGAAACCAAAAACAAAACAAAAACAAAAAAAAAAAAAAAAAGGAAAAAATAAATAAAAACAGAGAGAGAAGAGGAGGGGGAAAGGCGACATTGGCGTCTGCCTAGGCCAGGGTCACGGTCACGGTGGGTGTCCCTGAGCCCCGTCCCGGGCTTGTCATGAGCGAGGGGGCTGGCAGGCAACGTTCCCGGGGAGGGGCGTTCTGGGCTTGGCTGTCGCTGACCCAGGAGGCACAGGGATGCTGTTTTACAGTGGCATTTTGGCTAGCAGCAGCGGGGGAACAAGCACATCCCTCACAGAGCAGTGTCCCGCGCCCTCGTGTCTCCTAAGATCCACACACAGAGCTACAAAGCGACAGGCCAGAGAGGGGGGAAAGGACCGAATAGACCAGCTGCAAACCAGCACAGCGAATCTGGGAAATCTATACACACCTGCAAGGGCCGCACCAGTTATTCTGTTGATCAAGGCCAAAGCGCGCTCGGCATTTCTTAGGAGCGCTCAGGTCTGAATGAGTTCAAGAGAGAAGCGAGCAGAGGAGGAGAAGGAGGAGGATGTGGGAGAGAGGGAGGGAGAGAGAGAGAAAAAGAGAAAGAGAGGGAAGGAGGGGGAAAGAGAAAGATACAAATAAGAAAAAAATAAAAATAAAAAAGGGAATAAATCAATGACCTGGTTACTAATTACAAAACAGCGACTTTCGATTTTTAACTTTCTTTCATAATAAAAAAAGGTAAAAAAAAAAATCACATTCTTATTCAACTTGTGAAATTAGCTGTTGCAAATAAAGCTGCAGTATCCCTTCATTAAGGACTGTCTCAGATTCAGTTCAAGCTAATACAGGGAGCTTAGGTACTGAACAAGTAGCTTTCAAATAATACGTTTCCACTTTTGTTTTTTCTCTCAATTTGTTTTTCTTAAAGAAGAAAATAAAGCAAAGGAGGGAATTAAGTTTGTAACATGCTTTTTTCTTCTCAGAGTATAATAGTATAAAAAAAAAGAAAAATACTGCAAATAAAAACAGAACAAAATGAAATGAAACAGAAAGAAACAAAGAAAGGAAAGGATTGTGGTACTGGGATATTGCAGCTTTTGGAATGTTCATCTTTTCTTTTTTAATCTATGTTCATTAATATAAAGAGAGGAACAGATAAAGGTACACAGGCTATGTAAATGAGCTGTTAGGAGTTAGTCAGAAGCTCATCGCAGCATTTAAGCAGGTACAGTCAGTAAAATGCTAGTGGGCTTGCAAAGTATGAGCAGAAAAGCAAAAGAAAGAAAAAAAAACTAAAATTAAAAAAAAAAGCGAAGGAAAAAAATAATCATACTGCAGATGCATGCTTGCATGAGAAAACTTAGTGGGAGCAATGAAAAAAAAAAAATGCCATTAGATTAAGGAGGTTTATTACTAAATTCCTTCCATTTTTTTTTTTTAAACCAGTCTCTTTTAAAGAAATACTGCATATTCAATTTGCACAGTTAGTTCAACTCTAGATCACTGTCATTACTGCTTAAACAACTGTTATGGGAAAAATAAATAAACAAAGCAAAAGTTAAATTAAAAAAAGAAAAAGAAACAACAAAAGCAACTGGAAAAAAAAAAAATAATACTCTACCGAAACATACAAAACCGAGTAGATGGTCATTTTAAAGAATGTTCAAATGTCATACGTGTTTAATGTTAATCAAACTATAATGGCAAGAAAAATTAAAAAACAGTTTAAGCAACTATTTTAACGACTCAAAATGACATTAGCACCTGTAATCGGAGGAAGTGAAAGGCAAGGATTTAGGAAACATTCGCTGTGTTCTGAAAAAAAAGAACAAATTATACAAAGCCTTCAAAATGGTTTTTGTTGTTGGTCAAAGCCTGGCCTTCTCCAAGGGACCTGAGATTGCCTATGCAGTATTTCTAATTTCTCCTACTAGAGAATGACAAACCTCCTTAATTTAAGTCGGGTGCAATTTACCACTGTAAAGGCATGCATCGGAACATTCAGGAACAGCCCAGTTAATATCAAACACTCACACACACCCCTCCTACGCCCCTAGCCCCTCCTCGGAGTAAGCAGACTGTATAAACCCGCATAGGCATGCCTACTGCTCTCCAGCTACAGGCTCTAGAGTTCCTTCCAAACACAGTCCACTAGAATTACAATGTGCTTTTCATGCAACAATAAATGCTACTGGCTTTAAAAGGGCAGTATGAAGCAATTAATTAAAATGCATAAACGAAAAGGCTGGCTAAGATGGGTCCCCCCCACCACGCCCTGGCCTTGAGCTTCTACTGTCCTCTACCGTCCCCTCCCCCCGCCCCCAAGCCTAACATAAAAGAGTGGTCCTCAAGGGTGCTGCTCCTCCCTGCGTCTTCTCCCCACGTCCGCATTATTCTAACTTACCATTGGTCTCTCCGGGCTGCTTGTCCCTTTTCCTCTTCTTCTTCTTCCCCTAGACAAACAGATAAAACACAGGGAATTACTTCAAGTAACAGGTGGGAGGATGGATGTCGGGTTCCCCTGGAAAGGAGGCAGGAGGAGGGGAGCAGACTGCTTGTTCCTCTCCATCCACACCAGCTATACCCCCCGCCCCTCTTTACCCCCTTTAACCCTAATGCCCAAACGAACTATGTGCCAGCCAGCAAGGACACCTGCCCGGAGGAGAAGAGAAGGGACTGATGGGGAGACCTCTTTCCCACACACCATGTCCCTCCTCAAACCTGACCCGGAGCCTCTGGTTCCATAGAAGGATGAGGGAGACGGGCTAGAAGGGCCCATGAGCCTAGCACCACCGGGCAAATGAGTGTTGAGATGGCTGTGGGGACTCAGGGCCTCCTGCCTCCTCCGAGCCTCTTATCAAGGCCAAATGGGCCACATTCAGAATCAGAAATTAAAGGCAGAAGCAGGGGTTTTTCAGAGCTGTAGCGTGAGCCTTGCTTTCAAAGGACAGAAGAGGGAATTTAGAAAAGCGGAACGGAACCAGATATCACCCGATCTCCTCCTAAAACCGCTGCGTGGACATTCATTAAAGGGGGTCGCCGTCTCCATCCCCTCCGACATCACCGTACAACTCCTCAGAGTAACAGCTACTACTCACTGAGCACAGACTCCCTGCCAGCCGGGATTCTAAGTGAGCCGTGTCTACGGACTCATTTATCCTCACACAGTCCTAGACAGCAGGTACTGTCACCATTCCAACCTTACAGATAAGGAAACCGAGGCAAAGAGGGGTTCCATAACGTTCCTGAGATCACAAAGCTAGCCAATGGGGGGCCAGGATGGGAACTCGGGGGGGCGGGGGTCCTGGCTCTCTGTTGCCTACATCCTTAACTCCTTGCCTCAGAAGAAGGCTTGTGATGGGTTATGGGTGACGCCCTGCAGAGTCGCTCACATCCTCCAACCTGACGCTCCCTGAAATCCCCACCGTGTACCGTGGCTGTGGGTGTGGCTGTGGGTGGGAACGGAAGGAGTTCTGTAGAGGTGACTGCCTCCTTTCAGACCTGAAACTCCTCCTGCCTCTCTGCATCGGGGCCAGTCCCGTCCAGGGCTCGCCGCTGGTGTACAGGAAATGTCACCAACGAAAGGCCTGGTCTCGCCTCTCCGTGTTCTGAGGATCTAAAAACTACCTCTGCCAGAAGGTTCTTGTGACACGTCAACGTCAAGCCCGCAGGAGAAATGATCAGTGACGGGGAGAAAACCCAGCATGCACCAGGGCTGCGAGGAGAAACTCGGGGTGGAGAGGCTGTTTTAGGGGCACCCCAGGGCGGACAGCCCAGTCCTAGAGGGAGCCCCTCTTTCTCAGATCCTGGGGCCTGTACCACTTGGGGGTTTGTCTTGGCCTCCAGTTTAGCGTTTCCACTGGGAACATGTTACATTCCTAGATATTCAGTGGAAGAGACGGAGGGAAGGAAAAAGGCAGAGAGGGAGGGTGGATGGAAAGAAGGGAGGAGGGGGAGGAGGCAGGAAGAGGTCCGTGAGCCTTCTCCGGCCTCAGCCTCTGTCTTCATTGTGTGCCTGTCCCACGTGAGGAGTTAGGTGCCACCTGGCCACCTCAGGACAGGCAGGAGGGCCCAGTTCCAGTTCTGTTATGGGCCAGGGCTGGGCGGTGGGCACAGAACATGCCCCAGGATGTCCCAGTCATTTTTAATCCGCTGTCCCCCCGTTTCTGATCTCTGGCAAGCTCTTCTAAAAGGCAGCCAGACACGCCACTGCCCGTGGGAAGCTGTCCATTTAGGAGAGACTGAGCTGGCCACGGCTGAGGAAACAGACACTCAGACTGAGGACCTCTACAGGAAGGGGCGTGAAGAAGTGAAGGAGCACTATTAGTGAAGAGGGAGCTGCCTCAAGGAAGGCGGATACCCTATTATCTTTTTTATTTTTTATTTTTAAGGCCTAAAATATGGTTTTGGTGGTGGTGGGGGGTGATGCCAGATGAGCAAACGGCCTAGGCTCTCTCTCGCTGCCTAACCACCAGAGCTAGACAGGGAAGCCTGTGCTCTGCCAAGGCCGGTGGCACTGTGGGAAGGGCTGTAGTCTGTGCTCCAGGCTGTGCCACCCTCACGCCCAATGGGACTCATTCCCTTCCCCTCTGCTGCGCTGGCTGCAGGAAGGCTCTGTCACTCGGCTGGAGAGGTAGGAACATGAGAGGCACGAGGGTGGCACAGAAAACCTTCCTGAGGAACCTTCTGGACTTTATAATGACCGAACAACCCTCTAAACCTCTGTCAGGTCAGTTAAAAATACTAACATGAAACCACGATCAAATTCATAAAAGTCTGAAGTTTTGATTCTTGCTCCACAGGCTGTTTCCTGGGGCATGGACAGAGGAGAGGGAGAGAGGGAGGGAGGAAAAGAAGAGGGAAAGAGAGAGGAAAGGAGAGAGGGAGGGAGGGAGGGAAGGAGAGAGGGAGGGAAGGATGCATTCACACCCATGAGTCCTATGCCACAGTGACAGGCATCTGACAGTACCTCTGACAGGAGAGAAAACTCCTACTTGTCCAGATCCACAGCTTCCTCTCACTTTCAAGTCTTAACAGGGGTCCCCCCTACACCAGACCCCTTCCAAAAGTAAAACGGAGCTGAAGTCATTCAAGCACCTCTTGGACCTGCAAAACCTCGAAAGCACTTCACAAAAAGCCTTGGCAACACCTCCTCTAGCCTGTCAACAGAGGTGGCAGCTCTGGAAGCTTCCAGCCAGCCTGCACACGCCAGGGGCCGCGCACCAGCCCCCAGGGTGACACCGCACTCAGGTGTGCAGTATACGCTCTGCACTGCTATACGGGACGGCCCTTCCACCACCCCTGTGCCCGCTGGGATAGGGCTTCCTCTGGGGGCGCCATGCTAGGTTACTCCCAGGATTGGGTCTGGGGCAGGAAGAAGGTAGAACTGGCCTCTAAGGACTTCAAACCCGAAACCAGGTCAGGAAGCAGCTGCCCCATCATGGGAGGGTTGAGTGGGCACCAGCGGAGGCCGCAGGGCCTGCCTAGTGCTGGACAGTCCACCTCGAGGTCAGGGGGTGGGTGGGGTGGGGGGTGGGGAGCAGCAAGCCTGTGGGGGAGCAGGAAGGTTCTCATGCTCTTCCTCCCAGCCCCAGCAGACTGGCCTCCCCACCACGCGCATGCTAAGGACACGTGCAAAGCGCCCAGCAGTGCAGGCCCAGGGCGTTCCACCTCCCAGGCGGCGGGCCTGGAGGAAGACGGGTGCTGGGGTGATGAACATGTGGGAGCCCAGCCCAAAGGTCCGGGCTTTTCACTCTCCCTCATCCACACCCAAAGGGCAGGCTAGCAAGTGTGGGTGTGAGGGGATTGGAATAAAGGGGGGGAGGCCTGGAGATGCTGCTCAGAGCACACAGCGGCCGGCCTTCCCTCGGGACTCACGTTCCCATGGACCGGGTGCCTTGCTGAGGCAGCCATGTTCTGAGCCACTCAATGGGTCTGATTTAGCTCAGAGTCCCCACCACACCACGTGCAGGCTAAGTCTGCGATCAGCAGCGACAGAAGGGATCTCATCCCACATCCGGAGAGAGCGCTTCACCACGCACGGTACCCACGGAGAGCAGGAGCACCTGCTGGCAGAAAGCCACCCGCGGCTCCACGATCCCAACAGGGAACAGGGCGAGGAGCCTGTGGCTGCATTAAGACAAGCTCTGCCTCACTGGCCCCCCCAGAGCGGATGACAAAATCACTTCCTGTGACCCAACGCTGGGCACCAAGGCACCAGGCAAACTGAGAGATGTCTCATCCATCGAGAGGAGAGCGAGCCCAGAACTTGAGCCAATGGCCTAAGGTGACCAGACGTCCTGCTTTTGGCGGGACAGTCCCGATTTTTAACCATTTGTCCCTCGGTGTTTTTTTTAAAAAATCCATATTTATTTATTTATTTATTTATTTACCAAAAATCGGGACTTTTTTTTAAAATGCTGCAGGACGCGGGACAAATTGTTAGGAATCGGGACTGTCCTGCCAAAAGCGGGACGTCTGGTCACCTTACCAACAGGCAAAATGCAGAATAAGAAGGAATGGTGAGAGGTGACAGGGGTCTCCCAGGACAGCGTTGAGGGAAGAAGAATCATGAGTGTCACTCCACAGCAATTAGTAAAAACAGGTCACCCGGCAGCATTTTCTGAAATCCAGGAGAGAAAACTAGGCGACCCCTGCAGCTGACGGAGTCCAGGAACACACGGCTCACAAGACACACTCCTCTGCCCGCCCTCGCTGGTCCCTGCCAAGGGATGACTTCTACTGGCTCTTTCAGGGATATTCCCATCATGCCCCTCAGCAGGAACTAGACTCCCAGCTTTGCTGCACCACAGAATAAGACATTGTTTCAATTTTCCCTCTTACGGTGAAGGGCCTGCTGGAAGATCTGTGAGGAATTACACTCTCTCCCTCCACCCCACCCCACCCCACCCCACCCTCTTCCACGGAAGGCCGCCCAGAGACCATGGCTGGGAAGCCCTGTCCCTCCTCTCTGGATGCTGGCGGGGCCAAACTGGAGGCCACGACCAGACCCTCCGAGCCTGGTGCTCGGACGAGGTGCTAACGGTCCCCGCAGAGGGCAGGCGGAATCAGGCGGACATTCCCTCTGTCCCTGTGGCCACCCGCCGGCAGACCGGCCCCGAGAGCAAGGATCCACCTACATAGTTATCCCGTGCGGACCAGCCGGGGTACAGCTGCATGTGGAGCTGCCGCTCCTTCCGTGCCAGCTCGTAGTATTTTGCTTGCTCCTCTCTCGACAGCGCGTGCCACTGGAGGGGGCATGGGGGGGGGGGGGGACAGAGAGAGACAGGCAGAAACGTTACCAACGGCACTGCGGCGAGGGGTGAAGGCGGCCTCCTTTTTGGGTAAGTCCATTGGGAATCGTACCACCTGCGGACAGTCTGCGGGGCCTGGCCCCATCAGGAGTGCTCAAAGCACTGATTGGCGTCCATGTCACTCCATCCCCTGCCCTCTCTGGGGGCAGGTCATGGCTGTGGTCACTGGAATCTGGAGTGACTGGCCTGCCAGTGTGGCCGAAGGAAAACACATGGGGACGGGACACCTCGCCACCCCACCTGCTGCGCCCCAGGCCCCTCTCCCTTCCTCCCCCGGGGAGGGGGCCACCTACCCTCCGGCCCAGGATCTGGTTGATGGCCGCGCTCTCTTTCAGCGTGCACTCGGCCACGACCTTCGCTCGCATTTCCTTCATATACAACATGAACGCGTTCAGAGGTTTCTTTATGTGGGGCTTCTTCTTCTCCTCTTCCTTTTTGGAGTCCTGATGCTTTCTGCATGCGGATAGGACAGACAGACAGACACAGCCCCGTGAGCAACCGCGAGGGCCAACTTCCCCCGGGGCCCGGAGCCCGTCTCCTGGGTCCCCCAGCGCCCCCACCCAGCCGCTTTGAACGAAAAGCTCGCTTCCACTCTGGGTCTCCGCCCCCCTGGACAATGGAACAGAAGCAGCCTGGGGAGGGGCTGGGGGCACAGAGGTTTTGCAATTAGTTCCTCACGGGTCACAAGCACACAATTCTCCCAGGCTGAGGGGACAGCTCCTGTGGCCGCCGGCACCTCGGCGGCAGCCCCTGCTCATAGGACTGAGCTCCAAAGGCGCAGGGATAGGGTGAGGGACAGGGATGTGGTTGCAAACCCCAGTCCAGCCACGAACATAAAATACTTCTCTTCCAGCCCATCCTCCTGTGAGGCTGGAGCCCACAGGAGCTGGGTGTCTGCCTTGGCCAGGGCCGCCAGCCAGGAGCCACCCTGCCAGCAACCACCGGCTAAACACAATGGCAGAGGAAAGTGACCGAAAGAGCAACTCTATCCTAGCCGGTGTGGCTCAGTGGATAGAGCATAGCCCTGCAGACTGAAAGGGCCCGGGTTTAATTCTGGTCAAGGGCACATTCCCAGGTTGTGGGCTTGATCCCCAGTGTGGGGCGTGCAGGAGGCAGCCAATCCATGATTCTCTCTCATCACTGCTGTTTCTCTCTCTCTCTGTGTCCCCTTCCTCTCTGAAGTCAATAAAAATGCATTAAAAAGAAGAAAAGAAAAGAATGAACGATACTTACGAGCTGTGGAGCGAGCCGACGTCACTCTGGGAGGATTCCTGTTTGACGGTTGGCGTGACGATGGCCGGGTGGGGGATGCCGGTCGTGTGGAGAGTGTGATGTGGCGGGACCATGTGGGGAGGGAACCTAGAAGACAGGAAGCTGTGTAAATCGTCAGAATCAACATGAATGAATGAGGAGGGATGCGCACACACAACACGACACAACAGAACACGCGCATGAAAGCAAACCCACGGCCTATGAAACCTGTCGGCATTAATTAGCGAGAAATTAAACGTAATGATTCTCATAATGTCATTAAAGCCAATCCCCCCCTTCATTACGCTCACTGACAGGAGACGTGAGGACTTCTAACGTCTTTAGCAAAAGACAAATTTAACGGATGCACGTGGGTGGCCAAGGAGGCTTGGGTGACCTGGTGGAGATCACACGCCCACGTGTGGGTGAGGTGTTCTTGGCGGCATCTAGCTGAACAGACAATTTCCCGAGCCCTAATCGGCGCCAGATGAGGGGGGCAGGCTTTTGTTGTGTATTGACAGCCAGATGAAATATTCATGCAGCTGACGTGTACACACGCTTCTGACAGGGCTGCGCGGGCCTCATTAGGCCTCATTCTGTTGATGGGAGTGTAATACAATTTTTGTTTTGCTTTGGCGGCTCTGCCCCCCTAGTTTTGACAGGAACGGGGAAGACAGCGAGGCAGGGAGATGGAGACAATCCAAATATTCCCCATTTGGTTCTCATCAGAAGTCACTGACACTTTAAGTTTGTATCGTCTTGTGGAAAGATGCAAAAATAAAAAATAAAAAAGCATTCTTTGACACGCACACGCAGAGCTTTGCATTCTGATTTTTATACCCTTCCCTGCTCTAAAATGCTGGGGTTCCTAATTAGTTTGACTTAATATACCCGCCTATGCGTTAACCTTCCAAATGGTTTCCAGAAGTGGGAATAAAGACGATCAAGCGTGTGTCGTCCCCTCTGATGCTGCTTATTTCTAGAAAAGTCCTCGGAAGCACTGTTTACGCCCTGAAATGGCATTCCCCAACCGTGCAGACCCGCCAGGCAGAGAGCTGATTTCAAAATACTCTTGGCCCCATCAGCAAACTGACACTCGGACCGGACAAACAGCTGTCACGTGTCCTAGCATGCTTGGAGTCACCGTGATTTCTATTAGGTCACAAGAACCATCCCTCTTAGAGGGACATGTGGTCAGTCCTCAAAGTCATCCATCGTTTCCGAGACTTGGAGCAAAACGACATATAACAAAACCAGTTTTACCACGGGCTACGTGACACAGACAAGAGTGAGGTGGCCATGGCACTTCCTCAATGCGACAGCCCAATGGCACTTAAGGAGAAGAAGTTTTTTGAGGGAAGTGGGCAGGGGGCAAAGAGGGGTAGGACCCCCCCCCCCCCAAAGGAAACAAAATGGCAGCTTCGGGCTCCCAGTTGCCATGGTTATGCAGTGAGCAGAGGGGGGCGCTTTTCTGGCAGAGAGGAACCCAGATCAAGCCTCCGTGGCTTTCTTAATCAACCGCAAGCACAGCAGTCCCATGCACCATGCAGGGAGGACAGCCAACTCTTTAGAGGAAGCCAGTTCTGATGGGAGGTGCTAATGAGGGTTTCCCATGACAGCTTCTTAAAAGGACCCTATGTTGACTCACAAGGTTCTTTCCACAGGTAGACTGTGGATGAAAACGGTTTCCACTTAAACAAAACCATGTAACAAATGGTAAATTGAAAAAGGATTAAAAAAAAAAACAACCTCAAGTACTAAACTGAATCCGCTCAGCTCAACAGAGAAAATACCGATGAGCAACGTGGGTCTGGGACAGGGGCCCAGCGTTCCACCCCGACACAGCCCTTGCCCGTTGCCTTTATTTACGTGTCAACATTTGGTGTGAACGCCACGGTCTACTAAGAATCATGCGAGCCCTTTTAGGGTTTAAGAAAGAGAATAAGGAAGAAAAGGAAAGAAACACCCTACGAGAGAGCGTGAATACCACCGACTATGAGAAAGAAAGGGGAAAAACTCATGTCCTTCCCCTGGAAAACATGGAAAGCAAACCCCTAGGAGGCACTTGGGGTGCCCACCTGCATGCATGCCTTCCCAGGTCTCCTGCACAAACCTAAGTTGAGAATATGTGTTCCTGGGAGCCTTGGGGGAAGGGGAGGAGAGTGGCAGTCTTCACTGTCAATGTTAAAAGGCTTGACATTCCTCAAATACATATGTTCCCTTCCTGTGGAATGAGAATACATGTACAGACAAGAGAGAGAGAAAGAGAGAGAGAGAGAGAGAGAGAGAGAGAGAGAGAGAGAGAGAGAGAGAGAGAGATTGGAGGAAGCAAGATAAAAACACGTGTGTGTGCACCAAATACCATAGGAAGACACCACAGTTTAAGTACATTTTGGGGTGGAGAAAAATTTCTAGGTCAGCCATGGGAACCAAATACTGCCAAGTTCACATAGGTATACACACACTCACATATCTGAAAAATGTATAGCAGAGAGAGAGAGAGAGAGAGAGAGAGAGAGAGAAGTGTGTGTGTGTGTGTGTGTGTGTGTGTGTGTGTGTGGAGTGGGGCGCTATATGCATACCTTCCACAAGAAATTCCTTTCTACAGACAACTGTTTCCTGAAATGCAATAAACACCCTAAAAATTCCAAGCAGCTCATTATATGCCCCCGTCTGCTTTTGTGGCTCCAAGCCAGAATCTTAACTTGTTAAGGACAACTAATTTTTGTTTCTGGCTGTCTCGGGGGCCTCTCACGTCCTCACTCTCACTTTCCTTCACTGTTGACACGTTTCTGTTAACTGGGTGTCATCTGCCGGCCTTGATTTCATGCACAAGCAGTGGGATGCATTTTCCTGTGCAACAATCCGGCTTTGAGTTGCATTAGGTTTGTCATTATTCTCTCATTTTCTCCCTTGCACTTGTAACATTTCATCTCTTCCTGCCTTATTTTTTGTGAGCCACGGTGCACCCACATTATGGTTTATACATGATCTCGCTCGCTTTGAAGTCGGCGGATTTCAGAGCCCGAGCTCGTCAGGAGAAGAGCCTTGCGCCAATTTAGCAGGCTGAGGGCCCGGAGCTCCAACATCTCAATCTAAAGGGGGTCACAGGGTGGCACAAGTGAGTGTCAGCGAGAGCTGTTTAATTGCCAATCTAGGCTTCTCCATGGTGTTTAAAGTATAATGACCCATCACTTAATTCTGAGGAGTCCTGGCCCCGCTGCTGAATAGAATGAATATCAAAGGGTGTTCTGGAGCAGGGCAAGCTGCCTACATTTCCTATAACTGCCATAAGGATAATAGACCTATACTTCTGTCGCCCCATTACCACAATAATGTATTTAATTTGCTGTATACGCTTTTTAACTAGCTACCTTTCATAGGGCCTACCTGGGGAATCGCCGTGGCCCCCCACCCTGCACCCGGAGCCCCTAACCTTTCCTCCTCCCCCCACCCCTTCCCTTCCTTCCCTCCACCCCCCTCTGCCCACCAATAAATCAGCCACTAACCTCCTAATGATAATCCAATCAATAAGCTTAACCCCGATCCCCATCCTACGATTACTTCCCCGAGTTTAACCCCTGGAATGCACCGAGTACACAAACATGAGAAGCAACCAGGTGTAAAGGCTGGACTGAGGGAGGGTGAGCTGCGGATCCTAATCTCCTGGGAGACTCCCCGTTGGTTCCCAGGCTCCGCGGGGCTGTGATGACATTACTGAATGAACACTCATCGGTGAAGCAGGAGAAGAGGACATGCAAGGATTCTCCTGCCTCCCTGATGCTGGCATGGCTCTGGACCCCGGTGTGACTTATCTACAGCACGCGGGAGACAGGTCCTGAGGGTGGCCTGACTCCATGGCATAGTGACAGATGGAGGAGTCAGAATCTGCCACAGCTGGTTTTTCTTCATGTATGGGGTTCCTACACTCCCCCTTTTTCCCCTCACCCAGATCCCTGTTCATGTAGGAGAAGCAGCATCCTGGCCTGTCTGTCCAGTTCCCCCTCTCACCGTGGGTTCCCATGTTGGCTACAGAGATTGGGGGGAGAGACTGGGGTCGGCAGCTTGGCCGTGTAATGTATGCTAATTGAATTATGCGCCATCATCAAAATGGATTAGTTGTTGCAGCCCATCAGGAAAGTCTAAACCTCCACCGATTTAATTAACTTGACTGAAAATCAGATGAACAGAAAATAAAACTATCATTAGGAGCAATTAGTGACTGCTTAAACAGACTGCTGCCAACCGGTTTGTAAATAAACTCCCAGTCACTGAGAAATGAGCCAGAATTAATCAGAGGGGAGAGAGAGGAGGGCGGATTAGGAAGGTCTAGGTACACACAAATGAGTAGGTGTACGCAGGCTGCATATGTACTTATATGCTTACAGGCACTTGAATGTGTACACACACAGGCCAATGTGGCAGCCACCAGCCACATGTGGTTACAAAGGACTTGAAATATGGCCAGATCAAACTGAGGTGCGCTGTGAGTAGAAAATACTCATCAGGTTGTTGAGTATTTTCTAAGTTCCAAAAAGAATGTACAATCTCATGCTTACTTTATAGGGATAACATGTTCAAAGGATAATATCTGACAATAATGGGTTGAAGAAAAGATATCATTAAAAATACCTTCGCCTGTTTTTATTTATAAGTGTTTGTTCAATTTGGCTACTAGAAAACTTAAAATTCCAAGAGTGACTCACCTTAATAATAAAATTATCTTCACCCTTTCCTTCCTTACCTAGTATAAAGCAACTGAGAAACAACACTTTATAAAAGCTCTGCATGTTCCAACTTCCTCCTCCTGCCTTCTTAAACTCTTATAAAAAATAGTGTTCAACCTGGTCAGTGCGGCTCAGTGGTTGACCTTTGACCTGTGAACCAGGAGGTCAGAGGTCAGGGCACATGTTGGGGGACATCACTGATGTTCCTCTCTCCTCTCTCCTCCCTTCCTCTCTGAAATCAATATATATTTATTATTTTTTTTTTTAAATAGTGTTCAATTGACGGACTCAAAAATTTCACCTCACAATTTCACCATCACCCACTTAGGAAGTGCACGATAGTTTTTCAGTATTTTCTAGGAAGAAAGCCAAATGCCAGATGGGTCTTATGCCATCAGCACCTCCAGCGGCAGCAGGCCCTGGGTGGCCTGGGCACAGCCTAGAGATCTCTTGGTGAAGTCACCCCTGGCCTTGGTTGAAGGCCATCGCTCTTGGGACTCACCTGGACATGGAAGCGTTGACAGTCAGAGCTGTGGGGTAGGGGTGGCGGAATCCTCCCGTCGTGATTGGGTACACTGGCTGGCCTTGCCTACAAAGAGAGGGGGCACAGAGTGAGAGAGTGCCACCAAGGGTGGGGGTGGGGGAGAGGAAGAGGAGAAGGAGAAGTTCTCTCTGCACAGTAAGCTTTATTCTCATTTGATCAGAACAAAAATCTTGGGGATTGTACAGGAAGGATCAAAGGGAAGAAACACAGAACAATTTGAATGCCATAAATCTGATAGGAATGGCTAATTAAATTTTATAACCTCTGCTTATGTCAATAGAGACCCTCTCCCCAAGCTGAAACTAGGTGTTTTGTTGTAATAATTAAAGGCGAAGTCTCGCTTGCTTTAATGGAGCCATCACACTAATTGAGGGCTACACATCCAAAGGAAAACAATAATGAATGTAAATTTATACCAAAATAAAGTACAGTGAATCAAAGGACTTCACTTGCGCTTTGGGCCTCTTTCGGTATTTAGATCTCGGTGAGAAAACATTAAATTAACAGAGCTTAATTTGTAGCCTTTTGTCAAATTAACAAGTGTTGACAAGAGTTACCGGGGGGGAGAGTCCCCAAGAAGAATTGTGGGTAACCAATAGACAATCACACCTCATTACAATAATTAAAAAATACAGCAACATGCAAAATAGCATCCTCATGAAAGACACACAACTTTTCCTGACAGAGGACTGCCTGAGTTGACTATTCCTTTTTATCCTAGCCTTCAACTATCTCCCCATCAGCTGAATGGGGCCAGTGATGACTGAGAACTACTGGAGGAATGGCCCAAAATCTACTGAAGAAGAAATGGGATAGGAGCTCCCATTGATGGTCCATGTCTACCTTCCCCCAAAAAAGTAAGGAGAAAAACAATAAACAGAAACTATGCTCAGGGTTGGTACTCAGTGTAGCTACTACATAGTACAAGCTTTTTTGAAGAAAAAAAAAAAATGTAGAATCTGTTCAACTTGAGAAATAAGGGTAGAATGGGGGTGGGAGGTAAGAAACCACCCCAAAATTATATCTTCTTTAAGGTTATGAAAGGCCGTATTCCCAAGACCCACCCTTGAGCGTTTCATCACGATTTATTCTTGTTAAGATTCAATAAGTTGCCCTGTGTTTTTTAAATAGTAGAGATCACAGGCGCATGGCGTAAGCATGCAGACAAATATACACGGAACCATGCAATCACAAAACACACGTTACATGCTTGCACACACACAGTAGGCTTCTGCACCCAAGGCCTTTCTACGCTGGGATTTTCAGAACCCACTTTTTAAAGTTGTCTGAGGAAGGCCGATGGGTGGTACTGTGAAAGCAAAATGGGGTGATAGGAAGATATATTGCCAAGGGCAGATTGATGACTTGGGCAGTGCGGGAGCTGGGGCTGACATTTGGCAGGCCCCACAGACTGAAAGACATGAGCTCCCCTGCCCCACCACTTATAATCAGCATTTAACATGAACGATCTCATGGAGATGCTGGTTAAATAGCATGGAGCTTCTCAAGAGATAAAGCTTCCCACTGTTGGTGTCAACCTTGAGAAGTCATGTCAGGATGGAGCTGGAGCATAGCCCCACCTTCACTCTCATCCCTGAATTTCAAAACTGGGTTCTGCCCATTGCCCCTCTGCTGCTGCCTCAATCCGATGTCAGGGCTCCTGAAAGGCTGCCACAAGCAGAAAAGCTGTGATCAACGTCATTGGATAGAAGCCCTCAGAACCTTCTACGATTCCCTAAAAGTACCTGAGGGACACCTTTGGTCACAGAGACGAACCCAGAGCCTTTGGGACTGGGCTCAGAATGCTAAGTATCAAAACCCCTTTTCCTACACAAGCCACCGAATGGCTGTTGACTTGCCCTTGCCCCCCCCACAGCGCATCTCAGCAAGCACCTTCCCCCCTCCCCATATTGCCCCCCCCACCAACCTGTCCTCTAAAACACACACATCCATGCACAGAAGAAATAAGAAGCATGCCCATGCAAGAAACAAAAAGTAAATTAAAAAATGGAACTCCTTACTGTGGTACTAACCATCCTAGCGGATGGGGGATTTGTCCTACGGTGCCCGGAGACAGTGGGTAATACGGAGATATATCTGGAGGGTGCGGAGGCCGTGGGATTCCTGGGGAAAGAAGCGACATTTTTAGGTACAAAGGAGGGAGAGAAGGAAAGAGAAACAAACTGGAGATGGGAAGAAAAAAAGGGCAAAGAGGTACCTCTTCTGTAATCCTAGCACGAGGTTCTTTTTCTGATTATAAGCATAGTGGTTGGGAAGTTTACTTATTATCCCTCTACCCCAGTTTGAAAAGTTGGTCTAGCTCATTCTAGATGGATCAATACACAGACTGAGAAATAACATCTTCGGAATTTCTATCTCATCTGACTGATGTGATTTAATTTTTTTTTTTTAATCTAAAGGGTGTGGCCCATAGTGAGTGACCAACTAGGTAATATTACCTCCTTTGTCCTCATGACTTGTCCCCTCACTCTCTTGAACACGACTCTAGTTTCTGCTATACTTTGTGAGTTATGTCTTTTGACTTTTTTCAGAAAAGTTAATTCCTCTAGAATGACCCCACCCCAGCCTAGAAGATGAGCTATAGGGGGAATTCACCAAATGCCCTGCCATCTTATCCAAGGAAAAAACTAAACTGAACAGACATGATACACTCAGTGCTAGAGATGGACAGGGAGATCTGGTACACTCAGTGCAGAGATGGACAGGAAGTCATGGGAGATCTGATACACTCAGTGTAGAGGCAGATCCTGGTCTAAAGGACAGTCACAGGTGGGAGTTAGGCCCGCCTGCCAGCTGAGTGCTGCTGAGGCCTACACGGGCTGACCCCTGTAGGTGCAAGCCATGGGAGGCTTCTGCATTCCACAGGAGAGCATCCTGCCATCAATGCTTAGAAAGCAAGCGCGCTGGGAGCGACTCTGACCCCGGGGAGCTGATCTCCCGCTGAAGGACGAAGCCAGGGGCAACACCAGGAACTCCCACGGCACTGGAGGCAGCGAGACCCACGTGTCCGTGGGCCAAAACTATTTCTTTTAATTTTAAAAAAATTCATTCAGGAAGCTTTTCATCTGTACGGTAAGTCTCCCTGGGTGACATTTTCATGCAGGCGTGGTGGCTCTCTCCCCATTACAAAAACCAAACAGATTAGCCGGGCTTGGACCCTACGCCGAGCCATTCGCACACTTGAAAGAACGTTCGCGGAGGAAAAGTAAACAGGCCGCAGACGTTAATCATATGTTTTACGATAACCGTTTAAAAGCTATTCCCTGTTCTGCCATTATTCAAATGAGCCGTCGATGCTGCCATTCACTCCGGGGCGGCTGGCGGCCCCCGCCAGCCCCGCAGCCAGGCTCGGCCCCTCGGCACAAAGGGGGCTCAGGGGCCGGGAAACCAGCTCGTGTGTGGCTCCATCCGGGGCAGCGAAGGCCGCCTGCGTGGGCCATCTACCTCCGCCCGACACCAAACAATTCCCTGACACAAACAGCCATTTAAAACCCATCCCTCTGGCCGGGACCGGTTTGGCTCAGTGGATAGAGCGTCGGCCTGCGGACTGAAAGGTCCCGGGTTCGATTCCGGGCAAGGGCATGTACCTTGGTTGCGGGCACATCCCCAGTAGGGGGTGTGTAAGAGGCAGCTGATCGATGATTCTCATCGATGTTTCTAACTCTCTATTCTATCCCTCTCTCTTCCACTCTGTGAAAAAATCAATAAAATATATTTTAAAAATAATAATAAAATAAATAAATAAATAAATAAATAAATAAATAAAACGCATCCCTCTGATGGACCAGCTGGGGAAGGAAACCCCAGCCAGCGAGATACGCCCCGGTCTTTGCTTTCCCCCAAGATCCTGCCACCTGGAGCTCTGGCTAATCTGCTTGTTTTAAATCTTGTCGCATCTCTCTCTCCCCTTTGGGCAAAAGCAGGGGCGGAATGGAGGGAACAGGGCCCAAGGAGAAGATGGAACCTTCTGTCTTGAGATCCTACTGGCTGCTGGGCGATGCTGGGAAGAAACCCTGGAGGCTCAGTTTTCACATCTGTACAATGGGCTTGTGAATGCCCAGGGCATCATAGGGGAGGAAGATCCCAAATAAACCAGCACCGAGAGTGCGGAGCCCAGCAGTGTGGCTTCTTGAGGCGGCACCAAAGCCATCACCAAGTGACTGGGGTGACTGAGGTCCCTGAGCCACCAGGGGGCCAGGGTTCCGGGGAGCCATGCATTAGGGCTCCCAGGGACCTCAGGAGGAGCCCATGAGATGCGATTACTGCTTCCAAGTCTGTCTGAGGCCTTAGGAGTTATAAGCTCCTCGCAGCCAGATTCCCAGGCAGCCCCTGCCAGGGGAGGGGGGGCACTGGAGAGACCTCTCAAAGAGAGAACGGTGTCCTAGCAGGCTCTTCCTTTCCAATACCCAGGGGAGGGAAAGGAGCCTCCCGCAGCCCCCGCCAGTCCCCACCCTTCATGCCCCCCAGCGGGTCCCCTGTGGCCCCGGGACCAGCACAGCCTCCCGGGCACACGGCCTACCTGTTTTGGGGTCTACGTCAGCTGGTAAGTGTGGAGGCGGGTTTCCAGGGGTGAAGTGTTCGTTGCTGTAGGTGATAAGAGGCGTGAGAGGGTGGACATGGTGAGGGTGCTGCACCACGGGCACTTTGTTCGACTGCGGGAGGAGAGGAACAGAGAGAGGACCATCAGGCTGGGTCCCCAGCAGCACAGGCCCGGTTCCCCTGCTACCCCCCCAACACACACCTCGACTTCATCAGGTGCACCCCATCCCGCCCTCAGCCCTGGCCCCATCCATGCATCCAAATCACAGTTCTGAGACAGAGCTCTGGGTAGATATACCTCAGTTTTTACCTGCCCACTGATCGTGGCTTTTAAAATACCTTCTCCACCACCGACCCATCATGGAGCCTGAGAATTTGCACTTTTCCCATCAGCGGGTACAACGGAAGTGGGTACTCTAATCTCCAAGGCATACTGTGTTCTTGCATGTGTGTGTGTTGTGTGTGTGTGTTGTGTGTGTGTGTGTGTGCACACATGTGGTGTGTGTGTGTGTGTGTGTGTGTGTGTGTGTGTGTGTACGCACACGTGTGCACGCCCCAGAGCCCCACCAAAGGGACCTCCACAAGGCAGGCAGGTTCGAAGGGGGCTGGCTAGGAAAACCTTCCATTTCAAGAAAACCTACCAGGGCCCAAATCTACCCCCTCTCCCAGCCTCCTCCTCCACCACCCCTGCCCCTGCCCCCTCTCTGCCCCTTCAAACCAGCAGCCCGGGGCCCGGGCATGCCCCAGTCCTTTGCAGAAAGGTGGGTGAAAAGCCCACTCCTGGCCTGCCTGGCAGTGTGAACTTTCTCAGAAAGCTCTCAACTGCCAGGCAAGCACCTGAATATTTTATGCAGATTACCTCAGCCCTGACTCATTAGGAATTTCATTAGGAAGTCATCAGGGAAATCTAATAAATTAGCTGGACGATGATGAATTGGGCTAATAAATGGTATGCTTTTTTAGAAATGGGAAGTTGTGGAAAAACAAAGGACTGGCATTTTTATGTTTGGGAAGGGCAGACAGGAGGAGAGAAGTGGGGGTGGGGCATCTTTAAAATGTTTCTAGTTGCCATGACCAGACTTTCCCAAATTATTCTCCTCCCTCCCTCCCCCACCCCACACCCCCTCCGCTGTGCCACGCTACAACTTAGCCCAGCAAGATCACAAAGAAAAAATTAAGCTGAAACAAGCGAACTACTGGGCCATTTACTGAGAGTAATCCAATTGCAAAAAACCCTATTCCCAATAGAGGATTTTCACTAAAATCCTACAACAGGGACATTTAACCAGATTAGGTACCAGGGAAGATAAAGAGGCCAGTATTAGATGATGAATGGATTAGAGTCAAGTTTCATTTCAGAACGTGTCTTCATTCCCTTTTATTACTTTTAGGAGGGCACAACTTGCATTAACATCAAGGAAGAGGAATTGCATTAAAAGGAGAGGGAGGGTCTCACGCTGCTCACCAGCGCCTCCCGAGTTCAGGGACCACCAGGCAGTTAGTCCTCACCTTTTTTTTTCTTCTTCTTCTTCTTTTTTTTTTTTTGTAACTAGGTGAGGAAGGGGTATAACATACAAAGAGTATTTGCTACCGGTTAATTGTGGGGAAGGCATCTTTAAAAAGTGCTTCTCGCTTTTTTATGAAGATGTTTGGAAAGAAAAATATGGCCTTCTTGATGCTCCAGAAAGAAAAAGAAAAAAAACTACAGAAAAAGAGGCCGACCCTTCCCACAGCCTGATTTAATGACGCCTAGAAACAATGGACGCTTTGGGAGGAAGGGCCAGCTGCATGCACACAGGAGCCTTGCATTGTGAGTTATCAGTGTGCAATCGAGGCACGAAATAAAATTTTTAAAAGAAGAAGAAGGAGGATGAGGAGGAGGAGGCACCGAAATTAAAAATGCCAAAGAAGAGGGGAGCTTTGGAACCCAGTAGCACACCCTTCGCCAGCAGCCCTGATGGTCTGGACAGGCCAAAGGCCCTGGAGGGAGAGGCGCAGCCCCCAGGCTCCCGGGCCATGCGCTGAGGGTTCCTTTAGGGGACGCTGTGCTTAGTAGGACAGCCTGACAAGTAACCAACAGGCAAGCTCCCACTGTGTGCAGGGGTGGAGAGGGAGGGAGGGAGGGAAAGGACAGCCATGATCACAATAAGCAAAGACCAATAAAAGGAGATGAAAAGAACTGCTGCTGCCTTCCCAAGTTTTCCGTTTGGTTGGAAAGGCACACGCCCGTCGAAATGAACCAAAGCAGGCCAGGCCCAGACAGTTCGACGTAATTGCAGGGAAACCGTGACACTAGAGGTAGACAGACGGCCCAGGAGGGAAAGGAGGATGGTCACTTAGAGCTTGAAGGACTTCCAGGAAACGGACTACCACACACAAAGGGAGGAAGCAAATGTATTAATATAAGCCCGAGAGCAGGGTACGAGGGCTGCAAGCGGGCGGGAAACTGGACGTTCGAGTTAAGCACCTCTCAGGGTGCTTATCGCCGATTCAGGTGCCTGATCCCAGGAGATCTTCCGGCTCAGACTGAGCAAGGCTCACTGGGTCCCACTCAGTGCCATGGTCCCTTGACCAGAGAGCCAGGCAGGCACAGACAAGCACACAGGTTATGGAGACCCGAGTCCTGCTCATCAATCAAGCCCCCATGTGTGAGAGAATCCATCCATAGACAACAGGGCTTAGCACAAACCCTCCCCCAGGGAAGCACAGGAGGGTGGTCTACCAGTTACTGTTACTGTTACTGTTGCTTTTAGGGAGGAGCTGCCCAATGTCATGGTTTTTTGTTTGCGGGACGGAAGTGCCCATTCCAAATCTGTCTTTCAAGCAAGACTAGCTGGAAATGAGGGGGAAACATTTCTTTGGCAAAGAATAAAGACAGCATGTGGGCAGCCGTGGTGTTATTTGGATGGACAGAGAGTCCTCGAGTTATGTCGGGCTCCACGAACGTTGTTTCATGGTTACGCACCATCCTCCATGGATTTATATTTTAAAAAGGTCCAGCATTTCGATGCATGCACATAGGTGCTTTATATTTATATATTTTATTTACCACAAGGGAAAGGTCAGGAATGGTTATCTTTCTTTTCATTATTTTTTTACTGTTTCACTTCATCACTGCTGTGTCTATGCTCCACGGGAGGGATGTGGGTGCTTATGTAGGTGGGTTCTGACTTACATGGCGAAAATCACGTTACGAGGCACTGGAGGAACGGATCTCCTATGGAACCTGAGGACCTACTGTACGCAAAATTTTAAAATTAGCCCAGCCGGTGTGGCTCAGTAGTTGAAGTTGAACTGTGAACCAGGAGGTTCGATTCCAGGCAGGGCACCTGCCCAGGAGGCAGCCAATCAATGATTCTTGCTATTAAATGTTTCTTTCTCCTCTCTCTCTCCCCCTCTACCATACCTTTCCTATCTGAAATCAATAATAATGTATTAAAAATTAAGTCTCCCTTGCGCTTAGACAGATGTAAAAAGATTATTCCGACAAAAGGTGGGCACCTGACCTGGCTGCAGTCCTGTGATATTATGTGTGCACCTGAACCTAGCCAACTGTTTCTTTCCTGTTTGGTCTGAACTGGAAAGCATAGGGGTGGCGTGAAGGGGATTTGCAGTATGAACGGTGCCTTTCGGAGGGAAACAGACCCGGTGCTGTTTCCTGATCCTCCCTGCCTGCCCGACAGCTCCCTGTACCACAATGTAGCCGTACCACAATGTAGCCACACGTCTCTCCAGGCGGACGGGTTCCCAAGCAAAGCAGGGATGTAGTCACCGATGTAAAAACGAGGGCCTAACTCCCACGGGCCTCCTGCACCTGGGTTGCTTTGACAAGAGGATGTGCTTCCAGAAAGAGCCTCGTCTCTCCAGCCTTCGAACCCCACCGTCCTTCCTTCTTACGCTGCCTTACGCCCAAGGCTGGGGCCGCGTGTACACCTCTCTTACGTTCCTTAAGCCCAAGGACTGCGTCTTCTAGAACTCTGTGTCCCCCGTCATGCCCAGCCCATGGGAGTGACGAGCACATATCTCACAAACTGCACTGGAACCATCAATTCTAAGAAGAGAAGACAGAGACAGCCTCACAGGTGCATCTCAGCCAACGAGAGTGCTCTATGCAGAGAGCTGGGGGAGGGGAGAGGGGAGCGCTTCAGAAACCATCCAGCCTAACCCTGTGACTGAGCTTCTCGCATGCCCACGGTGACTAAGGTAAAGCCGTGAACTCAAGGAAGACCTGGGTTACATTCTGCTTCACTGGACGAGCTATGCCACCTCTCCCAGGCCTCCGTTTCTCTGCGAACTCCAGATAGGAACTGTACCAACCTGACTGAGGGGGTTGTGAACATTAAGAGATCCCGCATGTACAGGGCTTAGCTCAGTGCCTGGCACAGAGCTGCAGATGCCACCCGAAGGAGACTTTGACCAACACCACCCCGTGAATGCAATGATGAGTACATGTGGAAGAGGCTCACCACTCCTCCCATCTCTTCTCATGAAATCCATGGGGAACATGCAGCAAAGGAGAGAATGCTCAATATGGGGCAAGAGTGTATGCAAGTTTTACAGCCACCTTCCCTCGGGTGCCCTTCTTAAAAACACGCTAGTGGATGAAAAAAATGTCTGTGTTTTACGATCTCCCTTGGAAAAAAAATAGCCACGTTAGTAAGCTAATAAATAAAGACTGTCACAGAAGAACTGAAGGTGAGATAAACATAGCTCAAGATGACCAAGATCCTTCCAGAATCAGGGGGAGGGCCCTGACATCAGAGCTGATGAACTGAAACACACAGCCACCCACCTTCTCTCCAAACCACTCCTCCTTTTTTAAAAAAGGTCTTTAGGAACTGGGTACAGAACTGCATTGCCCTGAGGAAATTCCGATGTGAGAAGGACCTTTCTCCGGGGAGGGGGACCCTGATAACCCCCCAGAACTGCAGGCAGCGAATCTAAACTAAAGCAGCTATCTAGCTCGGAGGGTCCGTGGGACAGTCTGAAGCAGCCCCTCCCCCTTTATCTTTTGACAGACAGGCTCCCGTGTTTAGGTCAATGCCTGCAACATAAAACCAGGGGCCTTTCAGGTCTTTATCTGAGTATGAAAGGTGGCTTCTAGCCTACCTGG